GGTTTCGGGTTTAGGGTTAGGTTAGGGTTAAAGGGTTAAAGGTTTAACGGTTACCGTACCTACCCTTAACTTACGTACCACTAGCTACTACTATATATATATATATATATATATATATATATATATATGTGTGTGTGTGTGTGTGTAAATTTAACAGGTCAAGCAAACAAGCTTTTGTGCATTGCTTATCTAGTTTCGAAAAAGTATACTATGATTTAGTATGTTATTGCATTTTTAAATAGCATTGATTTACTATCTAAAATGCCGCGCACTCAATTAACTTTAAAATAGAAAAAAGAAAAAACAAAAAACAAAAAAAATGGTTGCCCTACATACCTGCGAATCTGCAGATTATATTATTACTGCGTTTGCCAAGAGTGTGCCAGGCACCTGCACTACATACCTGCAAATGTGCAGATTATATTTTTACTGCCTTTGTCAAGAGTGTGCCAGGCACCTTCACATTTCTTTCCTTAACAAGTTTATTGATGAATCCTCGATTCTGAAGTACTTTAAAATAACTTGGTGGTATTATATATTATTTGTAATAAACGAAGAGGTATTCTTTCAATCCTTTTGATTGAAACTGTTAGAAAGTGGTTTCCATAGAATATCTTAGTTTGACTCTTTTGCTCTTTCTTTTCTCCTTTTTACTGATCTTGCTGTTTACCTTCTGCAGAGGGTGATGCCTACGTCATTGACAGATGGATCGTTTGATTTCTTTAAGCTTCTTCCCAGTAATCCTTGGAACTTACCTATCTGCGAACAACGATCGCTTGTGTCTCTGTTATTAGAGGCTATTGCATGGTCTTCTGGAAGCAGGGTTCCCGCAGCAGCCCCAATGCTGATGTATAAACATTTGCAACCATTAATTAAATGGATGCTTTATTCACCAGTCAATGATATTTCAAGTCAAGCTCATGTCCTTGTACAGGCAGCTATCTTAAGCACTGGTGCTTTTGGCAACAATTTCTTAGAAATTGAGGCTTGGTTGTTATTTCTTCCTGGTTACAAAAAGGACAATGTTTCTATGGGCATTTCTAATGAAGCATTCTGCAAGTTCACTGCACCAATTATATCTTTTTTTTGTGATACGATTTCAACAATGGGAAATAATGTGTACAAGCACCTGAATCAATTGCGTTGCCTACTATCAAAATTTGACTCTGCGAAAGGTAACTTGTCGGTTCTTGATTGTCATGTGCATATTCGTGTGTTTCTTCTATTTCCATTGCCTGCTTTTGATGCCATATGATCTGGTAGTCTTCTTGTGAGCTGCTTGGGATTTGGCAAGTAGATGGGGAAATATATTTTTTTGGGCCATGGGGTGGGGGAGAGGGTTGGGAGTGTGCTGGTTGCTGCTGCCCTTGGAACATAAATTTAGAATATGGATATGGATACATGCGTTTCTTTTCTTTGCTAATTTATTATTTGTAGTTCATTTTGTAAATGTGTTTGTGTATAAAAATGAATAAAATCGTACCAAAATATCTACAAAATTTGGCTGAACAAAACGCAGCCTAGATGTCTATTTATGTGATAAGTATATCCTTCCTTTGACTTCCTCTTGCAAGCGAATTAGCGACTAAGTTTAATTCTCACCAAATGTATGAGAGCAAGAGAGATTGGCCTGGATCGCCAAATCAGTATATTCGGGTTGCATCTTCATTATGTGATTAAATATGGGCAAGCTTTCTATGCTTCCCCTACAACTTAAAACTTATATACTTCCCTTATCCAACCCCCCATTTTGAATGGGGGACTAAGATTGCCCCAATCACAATGTCATGTCTCTACACTATTTTATTTTTAATTTTTTTCTATAAACTATTTTAGCACCAAATTTTGTATGTCCAATCCTCTATTAAACTCGCACTAGCGAAAAATATAAAACAAATATTTCCAATAAAATAAAATGATAAAAATACCCTTGAAAGTTTCAAGGGGTATTTTGGTCATTATATTTGATCAAAAAATTATTTTTAATATTTTTTATAGGTGCGCCCCAATGAGAAGATGGCACGTACCAAATTTTATATTTATGCAATTTGTATAAAAAAAAATTAAAAATAAAATACTTTGAGACGTTGGATCTGAGATCAAACGGTGAGTTGCTCTCTTGATCAAAACTGGACGGCTGGATGGTAGGGGAAGCATAGATCTTCTATGCTGTAGGGGAAGTATAGAAACCTTTCCCACTAAATATTACATGACTAGATGGTTGTTTTGTACAATTACATAAATGCCCTTTACATCGAGGGATATTTCATTTTTTTTTTTTTTTGAGAATGTTAACGGTTAATATTATTATCAAAGGAATACAAAAGTATGGGTCGAGAGGACCCACAGATTGAGTCTGTCAACCAAAAAATGGTCACTAAGAAGTGGACCTCGACAAAAAGGTCGGGCTAAAACAACACCCGAGAAGCAAAAATTAAGAGCTGTCTAGAGAGAGGGGCTTTTAGAATACACCCATTTACAAAAGAGAAAGCTGTGCAAAAGAGGAAGAAAAAGGCCACCCGTCGAGGTCCAGAGCAAAAATAGAGATGGACCTACAACCAAACTTAGGAATGCATCTAAGTCGCAGCTAAACGGGGGACTAAAGGCTGATTCCGAGCGGCTTCCTTGGCAAGACGATCTGCAAAGTCGTTTGATGTCCTCCAGATATGTATCCATGAGACGTCTATAACCCTGCAATTATGCTCGATCTTGTAAAAAATGTGGGCTAGGTACCAAGGAGGAGAGGTCTTTCTAGAGGCCCAAGATATAATGTTTTTGGCATCTCCCTCGATGTGCAACTGTGAACCCTAGGAAGGGTTGTATTTCTTGATACCCATCAACAGGGTTGTAGCTTCTACAAACTGTGAGTCTGCGAGGCCAAGTTGTTTTGAGTAAGATGTGAGAATATCGCCATATTACATTGTGAAATAAAAATAAACAAATAATAATTTTGACAATGCCCCTTATACATTGGTATATAGTAATGAGACATAGTCTAACATCTCCCTTCAAATTGTATATCATGCTTGAACATGTACTAGAAAGTGACGCAGTTCACTTGTGAACCCTTTGCTGAAAATGTCTGCGATCTGATTTTTGGCGTCTTTGCAATCTGTTTGGATCGCCTCTACTTCTATCTTGCACACAAGATGATAGTCAATATCTATGTGTTTGGTGTGGCAATGAGAAATAGGATTAGCTGCAATAGCAAGTGCGATCTGATTATCACAATAGATGGTGGACTGTTGTACTCTATGACCAATTGATGCAATCACATTTCCTATCTAACAAATATCAGCGATAATGCTTGCCAATGTCTATATTCAACATCTGTACTTGATTGTGCCACATATTTTTGCTTCTTACTCCTCCGAGGTATCAAATTTCTTCCTAGATAAGTGCATCCTGAGACTAACCTGCATGAATCAAGATGTCTTGACCAATCGACATCAAAGTAGCCAAAGAAATTTACATCATTTATGTGATTTTTCAACCATGTAATGCCTTGACTGGTGATCCCTTTTACGTATAGTATTATACATTGTAACACCTCGATTTGAATATCAATGGGTGCGGTACTGCATACTGCATACTGCATACATAGGCTGACACACCTGATTTATTGCAAAGACTAAGAATGATAGTGAGGTACTGAAGTGCGCTTGCCATTGTTCAATACTTCGTTGGTTCTTCAAGTAATTTTCCTTCACGCACTAAATCTTTTGTTGAGTGCCATTGGAGTTGCTAATGCTTAAAATGAAACATATTAGTGTACTCAAGTAAATCAAATGCATACTTATGCTGATATAATCAAAGTTCATCCTGAGCACAATCCACATCTATCCCAGAAAATACCATAGATGTACCAAATCTTTCATTTGGAATCTAGGAATGAAGGAATCTCTTGCGGTGATATGATCTGAAGAACTTCCTGTAATGATGATGCCATTGACATACATGAGAGTAAGTATAATATCTCTGGTGCTCTTGTGATGATAATGAATCCACTGCTGTCTTCGTGAATCCATGATCCTTGGTTACATGATAAAAGCTTTGGAACCACGTACGAGCAGCGTTCTCCAATCTATAGATAGATCTCTTAATTTACAAACATACTCTGAAGAATCCTTCTCACTACCTGGGGGCTGCTCCTCCTAACTCTCCATGAAGAAAGGCTTTCCTCACGTCGAGTTGGAGAAGAGCTTTCCTCATGTCGAGTTGGAAAAGAGGCCAATCATACTTCAAAGCAAGGTATAGAACTTATGAATAATGAGAGTTTTTACAATTGGGCTAAAGGTTTCGTCATAATCACTCTACATTCTCGATTAAAATCTATTGTCACTAATCGAGCTTGGAATTGCTCACTATCCATCCAACTTATACTTTTTCTTTGTTAAATATTGGATTATTTTGTCGATCTGTTATTTTCTTTGGACAATGGGGCATTCTTGTCTTTTTTTGTTAACTTAAGAAACATTAGTTACATTAGGGTTACATATGAGGGGCATTTATGTAATTTACAAAGTCTTTATTATTATAGATGAGAGCTAGAGGTGAGTGGAGGCTGAGTGCTCTAGCCACCTCTCCCAATTTTGCTGGTGCTGATCTCACCAAGGAGTGCTTACGTCTTCTTTCTATTCTGTGCGTAGAACCAATGTGGTGACTTGTGCTTGGAGATTAAAATAGAGGGGAATAATTTCTGGAAAGTGTCTGAAAAGTGTTACAAGTGTATGATTGGTGCTATAGGAAGTTTGTGGGAGTTCATACATGAGTTCTAACGGAGAGATCCTTGTTCATTGATGTCTGAATGATATGTATTCTCTCCATAAGTTACTGTAACAGTTTGATAACCGGCAGGTCAATGTTCCTTGGAAATTGGAAGTTGTTCTTTGCTGGGAAGAAAAAGGGTCTTAGAAGGAAGTCCTGGGTGTTTGTGTTTGATATCTTGTTGGAATGTTAAAGAAGTTCCAAGTACCTGTATTTGACCACCTTGGAATATATAGTTATATTTATTTAAATACTATTTAAATATTATTAAAATATTATATATTAAATGTTATTTAACTATTATTTGCATATTAAATATAAAATAGTATATAATATATTGTATTGTAAATATCTATTACATAAATAATATATATTATATAATAAAATATATTATATTACATAAATATATGTTATATATAATACAAGTATATATTAATAATTTAAATATAAATATATAATGGAAAAAGTTTATATAAGGTTGCAACCTTAAAATGTAGAAGTAAAGATGCACATCAAAAAATCATCGGAAAAGGTTGTTTTAATGTTGAAAGCCCTCTAATTGATCATCTTGACATCGATATTATGAATATGAAAAAAAAGAAAGATTTCGAGTCCCATAAAGAGTGCATCTTGTAACACATTATCTAGACTGTCCATTTTCAAGATTTTCATATGTTTATAGATCTACTTGATTTTAACTACTTTTGGAGTTTAAAATTTTATAATTAGATATGAAAATAGATTTTCAGATAATCCTAAGATTTTTTTACACCAAAATTACATGTTATAATAAAATTTGGGGGTGCACCTTAATTGGATTGTTTAAGGTTGCAACCTTATAGAAACCACATCCATATATAATAAATGTAGCATAATATAATATGTTATATCATGTATTTTATATTTATGTTCAGCTCTATCATGAAAGAAAGTGGGCTAAGCTAAGCTTAGCTAACAAGTAGCAAAAGAAGTTATAAGCTTGCTTCGCTTCAAAGCTACAAACTCGTTCCAAGAGCACCAACGAAGAGCTGGTTAGCTTATGTACGGAGCTTACAGGGGCCAATCAAGCTTATGCCAGTGCCAGCGGCCATTCCTACAAAATGAGCTGGCCTCTAGGATGTTGTGGTAGATCTGCTCGCAGCATGTGCTGGACCTTTGTAGGGCCGGTCATGAACCCAGTAGATTTCCACTATGAATCCCCCTAAGCCATCGTGAAAATTCTTTGGAATTTGCTACAGTTCTTCACTGATGCAAATCAGAATATGATATTTATGTATTATATATATATATATATTATATAATATACATAATAAATAATATAAAATATATAGAAAATATGAATATAAAATATAATATAATATAATATAATATAAATTAACAATATAAATATAAATATAAGGAGGGAGGC